ATACTCTCATTTCCGAAGGTATATAAGAAAAATGTCCTCCTTTCTTGTGGATAGGGAAGAATGCCTCGGCAGGATAGATGCATCTATGGATCGTGCCGCATGTCCCTCGGTAGTGTACACGACACTCTGGATCGGGCCGAATGACCTTGGCAGAAATCGTTCTTAATAATAATAATTGCATGATACTTTGATAGTTTATTTCAGCTTGTGAAGCTAATTGAGATTTGGAAATTATTGGAAAATTTATTTATCTCTGCTTGTTAAGAAAATTATTGTTATTCCTGTAAATGAGGCTAATTGATTAATTAAAAATTTAATGAAATTGAAGGAATTTAATTACTTCTGCTGGTTCAATAAAATTATTGTTAACTTTGTGAATCACATTGATATAAATATTTCTATTTTCATGATTATTCAATATTATTGACTCATAGTGAGTGTCAAAGTCGGCCATCTCGTCTCTACTTCTTCGAGATTAGGCTTGATACTTACTGGATACACGTTATTTTCATACTCATACTGCACTTGCTGCATATTTTATTGTGCATGTACATATATGTCTAGCGGCCTTGTAGGCGCAGAGGTGTGGTTAATAATTATGGGGACATAGGTGAGCTGCATTTTGTATTACGATCCGCAGCCAATCGAGTCTCCTTCAGGGTTATTATATTTTTCTGTCTAATTTATATTCTGGACAGATGCTGTATTTTATTTTTAAATTCTCTAGTAAATGCTCATGCACTTGTGATACCGGGTTTTGGGAATGGTTGTAAATTATTTAGTAATTTAGTTGCTAAAACCATTTATCATTTACTCTATGAGTTCTAGCTTTATTGTTTCATTGAAAGAATTTTGATTTCGAAAATACTAAAATAGGTAATTAAGTTAATTAATTATGGTTGGCTTGCCTGACAGTGGTGTCCGGCGCCATCACGGCCTTATTGGATTTTGGGTCGTGACATCTATGATCTTCGATTTGAAATCTTGCCACGCTAAAAACACTATTTGATGCTACTGATGATGTTTGAATAGCTAGGATATCTCGGGCCATTATTGAAAGTGTTGGAAAAGCCTTGTCACGCTCCCTCCACCATGCCAAAAGTTGTTCGTTGCCTTCTTCGTATTTTATACTTTCCAATCCTTGATTAAGATAAGAATCAAGTTCATCATCAATAGAGGAATCAAAACCTGTTATATCATCCATATCTTCCCATAGAACTTCTACTCTAGACTTAGAAGTAGAAGGAGCAGTTTCACCACCTGTTGTTTCCATAGATTTATATTTATCAAATATTGATCTAGCAAAAGAATAAATGTTAGCTTGGCAGTCTTCAAGAGATGGTTGTTCATTTTCTTGAATTGCTAAATTCTCATAAATTTTACGAACAAGTCCCTTTGCACCTCTTAATTTTAAAGATGAGTTAAGTATAGTAGAAATTAAATAAACTTGGAGAATATAGAAAAAATACTTTTTAAATTTTGTAATTATTTCATTAATGGCCGGTGCATAAGTTGGATTAGTTTTATACTTACCAAATACAACCGAAATTCCACAAATATACCATAATATTTGTGTAACAGTAGGATAATATATACCAGAAAATTATTTTATAGCATAATAAAATTTTTCTAAAAATTTAGTAAGCTCTTTTATTTGATCCCAATCAGAATCAACAAACTATTGCTCCAAATACTTGACGAATTAATTTGAAGCTTAAAAGTTGCTCCAAAAATTTGCCCAAATACTTGAAACTTATTACTTGATTGTGAGAAAATTGAGAGAATAATATAGATAGAATGTNTGGCTATAATTCAAAAAAAAAAGGACGCGGGACAGGCGGGACGGGACGGGATAAACGGGACGAAATGGCCATCCCGTCCCATACCGTGTCCCATTTAACATGTTCCCATCCCGTTTAGAAGTAAGTGGGCAGGGATGGGACGCGCGACGGGTCGTGATGGCCCGTCCCGTTGGACAGCCTTATTGAAGGCACAAATTTCATCTGGTGCAACCATGGTCTTCCCGAGATAATATTATATCCCATGTCTCCATCTACCACTTCGAAGAGAGTTGTCTTTGTTACTTCCTTAGCGTTCGTGAGCAGCAAAATTTCTCCCCGAGTTGTCACGTTTGGGAGGTTGAATCCAACGAGGAGTTTCGTTGCCGGGATAATTCTTTCGGTGAGTTTATCTTGCTCACATACTCTCCACTGTATGATATTAGTTGAACTTACTGGATCCACTAAAACACATTAATTTTAAAATCTAACACATTTAAAGAAATTACCAGGGCGTCATTGTCCGGTAGTAGTAATCCGTATGCATCTTCGTCCGTAAATGTGATATCGTCTTCCCGGAGCCTTTTACTATGAGTTATCGATACTTTTTTTCTTCGTTGCCAAAAAGGTGACCTCATTAATATCATTTCCTCTGAAGATCATGTTGATCGTTGGCGCGAGGGTTCTTCTCTTGCTTTCGAGGTTTCCGCGTCGCCCCTGTTTCGACCATAGTTGTTTTAAGCTCAGTCACTCAGGAATTCTCTGAGGTGACCATTCTTTAACAGTGTTGCCACTTCTTCCCGGAGGTGTCGGCAGTCCCTAGTTCGGTGGCCGTTAGTGTCGTGGTATTCACACCATAAATTGGGATCCCTCTTGTTGGGAACAAATTTTATAGGTCTCGGGAATCGTGCCTCTTTGATATTCCTCATGGCCGACACCAACTCTACTACACTGACATTAAAAACAATACTTTGATAACTTTGGGTAAGAAGAATCTCGCGACCCCCAGATTTCTTTATCGTGCATCGATTTGTTGTTTCGGCCATGACCGATCCTTCTATCAACGATGATCGTGTCTGCTATCCGGAAGCTCCTGCCATGACCTTCTATCCGCTCGTAGGGAAATAATCGGCCCATCGGAGTCCATCTATCCGTGTCAATATCGTCTTTCTTTTTTTCTCGGTTTTTTTCCCGTCCTTTGGTCGACGATGGAAAGCCCACCTGATTATCTTCGATCCTTATTTTTGATTCGTACCGGTTGTGGACATTCGCCCAAGTCGGTTGTTGGAACTCGAGTAGACTTTCTTTTAACTTCCAGAAAGCGTTCGAACTTCTCAGATTTAAACCTTTGGTGAATGCTTCAGCTGCCCATTCATCCGGGACTGCTGGTAGCATCCTTTCCTTTTGGAATCGGGTAACGAACTCTCGTAATAACTCGGATTCTCCCTGCGCGATACTGAATATGTCAGCCTTTCGGGCTTGTACCTTTCTGGCACCGGCATGAGCCTTGATAAAAGAATCCACGAGCATCTCAAAGGAATCTATGGAATGCTCCGGCAATAATGAATTCCACATTAAAACTCCCCCTACGAGAGTCTTACCAAATTTCTTTAGCAATACACATTCAATTTTGTGAGAAGCCAAATCATTTCCTTTCACTGCTATTATGTAGGTGGTAATGTGCTCATGTGGATATGAAGTTCCGTCATACTTTGGCACTTCGGGCATTTTGAATCGCTTCAGGATTAATTCCGGGGCCGCACTCTGCTTGTACAATAATTGAATAAGCATTTTGAATCGCTTCAGGATTAATCCCGGGGCCGCACTCGGCTTGTACGATAATTGAATATACTTCTTCGAGTTTGGGCCTTTTAATACTGATGGTGCGCCCGGGATTTGATCCATGCGGGCGTTTACTTCCTCCATGAACCGCAAAAGTTCATCCTTGAACGGATCCTTCTCGTTGTTGAGGCCGGATCTACTCCCCCCTCCCCCAGCCGCGTCAGATCCAACTTTGCCCCTAGGAGTGTTATCATCTCCCTATGTCGTCTGGTTCGCGGGAACATCAGGAGGAACTGGATCTCGCCTTTTTGCATTATTTGAGGCACCGGATAGCACCTGCTTCAGTTCTGTCATAACCTGATCCTGCTGCGTGAGATGGCCTAGAATGACTGCATGTTGCTCTTGCAGGACCCTTACTGTATCCGCTACATTCTCCTCATTAGCATCATCAGGAGTTGTCTCTCGAACCTGTCGAGGGTACCGCCTGTCATGTACCAGTGTGGCGTCGTTCCCCTCATTGCGAGTGTCACTGATTGAGTCCTCGAAATGAGGTTGTTCCCCTTGATTTTCAGGGTTGCGTGTGTTGTTAACATTATCATCTGCCATTTTTTGTGATTTTTTGCTAAGGAAAAGTAATCAAAACACGTTAGTAAAAAAGGCAAGGATCATTTAATCGCAAGGTTGTCTAGGTCCCACGGTGGGCGCCATAATAGTTTATCGTAAAATGGTACAGTTGAATTTGTTCGTGGTTTCTAGATAAGTGAATTAATTTGATCCAAAAAGTAATGAAATAACCGATGAAATATAAAATACTTAGCCTTAGAATGTAGATGAAACGACAGAGCTAATGAGTCCGGGAACAGGGTTTCCGAGTACAACAATGATCAGATAAAAAGCGAGAGAATAAAATTGTATTAAAATGCTGTATAGAATGTAGTGTAAGTTAACTTGAAAATTTCTCTCTTTACAATGATAACTGAGCTCCCTATTTATAGCTATGTCTAGGGAAGGAAGTCCTAGGATTATGCCCTTCTTTAATGTCAATTATGACGGTCATTGATGAAGATGTAACGTTGGACATAAATGCTAAATTTCTTGTAACGGACCATCATCCTTAATGCTTTAAAATATTCTGTATTAAATATTACCGGGCGCAAAACATTTAATATTTCATTTATGATCGTTATTACTTCCGGTGACCATTCCTATCTTGTGTTCCATGTGTCCTTAATTTAAGCGGCCACGTGTCATGTCGTAATTTTCCCGGAACAATTTGCTTACTCAAAAGATGATGACATTTTGAAAAGAGGGTAGCATCATACAGAACGAAAGATGTTTGCTTTTTACAAAAGATGTCTTTATGCACGCCTTACGGTTTTCACTTCCATATAAGAAACTATACGACAATTGATCAATGTTAAACAACATTTACGTGATAAGCATACAGTTGATTGGAGAACGTACACTATATCGCCTGTGCGCTATAATTGGGTAGTAATCACAAAGAGGCTACCTTATATATCAAATATTTCTTCTCCAGAAGTACAAAGAGCAAACTCTAATCCATACGCTTGGATTTTACTTAACGTTGAAAATTACAACACATCTTATTTTTTGGAATTAGAATTATATTAGAGGTGGACGACGAACAAAAAACCAAACAATGCAAATTCAAGAATCTGAATTGCGACTTCTTTTAGTGGTAATTCAAACTCTTACTCCACCCACTTATATGTACCGCTGATCTAGTAAATAATGAGAAATTGAGCTCCCATGCACTTGTAGATGAGCTGAGCGTATAGTAAATACAGTGGCGAGTTTAGAGAGCGGGTTCAAACGCCAGTGCTTTCTACTCGATCGAACTATATAAAGTCTACCACAATTATTCTAAATTCATCAAATATAAATTCTGAATCCGCCTGTGAGCAAGGGTGTTAGAGAACGGCGTTTGAATCCAAAGGAGTGAGTGTGCCAGGGCTCAAAAGAGAGGAACACCATGCAAAAGAAGAAATAGTGTTGTCTGATGGAAATCGTGGTCTAACATGTCTTTCTTGTGCTTCACTAATTGACTCATTAATAGCCTCAGTAGTTGATATCATCGATCATTGAATTTTTGGAGGAGGAGGGAGGAAGGAATTCTTTCAATTGCCCATCACTATTATTGTTACTTGATAGTGAGATTGGTGAGAGATCAAGAGGAGGAGGTGCGACCTGTTTAAGACATAATTAATTAGTTAAATTCAATTTGATATCAGAGTAAGTAAGGTCAACCTGTTTCGCCTAATAAAAAATGTACAGTGAGGGCCATGTCGAAGATATAATTAATTAATTAAAATGTGTGTTTTATCTAACAATATAATATTTTAGATGAGATGCTCATATAATTCAACATTACCTCTTGTAAACGACCGGAGCCGAAGCCATAGGGGGAATTGGAGTGGGATTGAAATTCAGGTGCTGCGGTTAGCATTTGGACAAAATCTCTGAAATTAACAGCTTCCACCCTATAGATTTTAGGGGGAATTGGTGGAGATGGAGCTATGGGTTTCTTGGTGATTGGTTTGGATGGAAGGCTGCGAACTCTACGGAGAGAAGAATTGTATGGTTTTTCTTTCTTTTCTTCTTGTGGATGAACAGCAAAAGAACTTGAACTAGAGAAAGAAGAAGAATACATTTTATATGAATATGACTCCATTTTGGCTATATATGTTTACCTAAGTTCGAACTTTTGTGAGAAATATATTTATATTAACTGGAAAGCTTGTTAAGAAGAATATCTATATATGGCTTTTGAGTCCTTGTATATATAGAGAAGGAAGAAGATATTTTAATTAGTTGAATGAAATAATGGGATCGAACATCGAATGGTAATGATGTGAAGTTTGTCTTGAGCGTCGGCTATGTGAAGCTGAAAACGTTAACAACTTACGATGTCCAGTTCACAAGTTTGATTTCATTTAAAATTTGGCTTCCATTATTATTTGTCTGTCACTGTTACGGTGTATTATTATTTCTAACTTTTTCTGTTTTTCAAATAAGTATATATCTTGGAGTTGTTTAGTGGCGGCGTTTGCTGCCGGGTCACCAGGTCTTCTCTCATCTACTCAATGAAATAGTATTCGTATCTGCACGTTGCACAAAAAATACTAAATATATAATTTATCATAAGAAAATGTTACTTGAAAATAACGGTAGACATAAAAGAAGCATGAAAGAATTTCAACTTTTTTTCATTGGCTCGTTTTATATTTGAGTCTTTTTGCTCTTCATATTTATGTATATAGTGGACACGAGGAAAAGTCCAAAACCATACATGATCTTTAATTTTACACTCAAAGTCATACATATTCTTTCACATGAAATATTAATAGTACATTTACTTTAACAAAGTGGTGCACTTTTAGTCATAACACTGAGAAAAAGCCCAAACACATACATTATCTTTGACTTTAGACTCAAGGTCATATATATTCTTCCACATGGAGCACTAATAGTCCATTTACTTTAACTAAGTGGTGCACTTTTAGTCATAACACTGAGAAAAAGCCCAAACACATACATTATCTTTGACTTTAGACTCAAGGTCATATATATTCTTCCACATGGAGCACTAATAGTCCATTTACTTTAACTAAGTGGTGCACTTTTAGTCATAACACTGAGAAAAAGCCCAAACACATACATTATCTTTGACTTTAGACTCAAGGTCATATATATTCTTCCACATGGAGCACTAATAGTCCATTTACTTTAACTAAGTGGTGCACTTTTAGTCATAATACTAAACACATTTTAATTTTTAACAGAAATCTAAGATCTAACAAAATATATGTTCCCTTTATTTTCTTGTTTACCGAAAGAAATAAAGATGACAGATTTATCTAGATAGCAAATAGTAAATATACATAGAATTTATTTACTATTTATCTATTTATTATACGTAAAATATACATTTTACTAAGAAATGTTAAACACCATTAATTTTTATTTACAATAATTTTTACCTAAATAACCTCAAATGTTATCTAGATTTTTTATTATATACATAATATTTACTATACGTTGACATAAAATAAATATATGTAAAATCACTGCTGAGAGTAAATAAATATTTGCTATACGTTGACATAAAATAAATATATATTTATTAGATTTTTTTTATTTTATGGGAGTCAACGTGTAGTAAATATACATAAAATAAAAAAATATATTATGTATATAATAAAAAATCTAGATAACATTTGAGGTTATCTAGATAAAAATTATTGCAAATACAAATTAACGGTGTTTAACATTTCTTAGTAAAATGTATATTTTACGTATAGTAAATAGATAAATAGTAAATAAATTCTATGTATATTTACTATCTGCTATCTAGATAAATCTGTCGTCTTTATTTCTTTCGGTAAATAAGAAAATAAAGGGAACATATATTTTGTCAGATCTTAAATTTCTGGTAAAAATTAAAATGTGTTTATTGTTATGACTAAAAGTGCACCACTTTGTTAAAGTAAATGTACTATTAGTGCTCCATGTGAAAGAATATGTATGACTTTGAGTCTAAAACCAAAGATAATGTATGTTTTTGGGCTTTTTCTCAGTGTTATGACTAAAAGTGTACTACTTTGTTAAAATAAATATACTATTAGTGCTCTATGTGAAAGAATATTTTTGACTTTGAATCTAAAGCCAAAGATCATGTATGGTTTTGGACTTTTCCTCTGGTGGACACTCACGGTATGTTTCAAACAAAGACGAAAGAATTTATCAAGAATAAGTATAGCAGAATGATTTTACTTTAAAATCAATTAAAGGATATGTTATTTAGATGTCGATGCAAGTAATTAAATTCAATATTATCCTTGCAATCTTCCCATCAATTGTATCCATTTTTAAATATCTTATACTTTCTCTGTTTCAATTTAGATGACACATTTTGCTTATCGATAATTAATTTGACTAAATTTTGAAGCTAAGTAAAATTAGTTCAACTTAGTATTTAAAATTAAAATTTAAATATTCAAAAACTACAAGAAAAATACTATAAGTTGTAATTTTTCTTATGTTAATATGATAATAAAATATATTTTAAAATATTGGTCAAACATTACTCAGTTTGACTCTCGATAAGCGAAATGTGTCATTTAAATTGAAACGAAACACGTACTAATAATGGAAAAGGGGCAAAAACAAAAGGGACGATTAGATAGATATATTTTGGTGCTTAGTTTAGTAAAATTTATGTTGTCCCGGAACAAGTGAAAAGAAAGAAGTAGTTATTATGAATATATTATATTATGGATGTTTATTTAGTACTCTGTTGTAAATAAGCTTCCTGAAGAATTTTATCCATATGAGACTCCGCCATAAATATGTTTATCTATTTAGTACTCTATTGGAAATAAGCCTCCTGAAGAAGCTTATCCTTTCGGTACTCCGCTATGGATAAATATTACCCATGATAGAAGATTATCTATATTTGGCACAACAGCTTGCAGTAGCAGCTTACACAGCAGCTTCCTTTCTTCTATAAATAGAAGAGAATTCAGTTCATTATGTACAGANGAAGTTTGAAGCTTGAATAATATATCAGTTTCTCTCTATACTTGTCTTTACTTTACAGTCTTTATTTTATAACACGTTATCAGCACGAGACTCTGCCATCTCGAGCAAATACTTTGAAAGTATAAGAGGTACGAACTTTCTTTTTCTAAATAATGTCAAATCTTTCTAAACTTGAGTTTATAGCCCTGGATATATCGGGCAAAAATTACATATCTTGGGTGCTTGATGCCGAAATTCATCTTGATGTGATGGGTCTGGCAGACACCATCAAAGAT